TAGGGCTGTAGCCTTTCACCACAGCCTCCTTGGCTCCCTTGCTAGGGCTCTTGGATACTTTATCCCTGACGGGACTTTCGAGCCATTTTGTTTTGTCCCCATCCTGACCAGTCGCCTCCGCCGGTGTGTCCCTGCCAAAGCTTCTCCTCTGCACCGTCCTGTTGTGACACGTAATGGCAAATTTACCCTCCACTTCATTCCAGGCGACGATGAACACAAATTTATGCTTCTCCTTCTCCTCAAACGCATTAGGGCGGACGGCCACCCACCCCGACTCCAAATTATCCTCCATTGTGAAGGACATGTCTGCAAAGTGATGGGACAGAAATAACACAGCGAAACCAAACGTCGGCACTGTCTGAGAGTCAGTGTAGTAAAAAAGTGTGTGATAGATCAGCGTTTACCAAACACTGTTTTCTCTCCGGGGATATTTTGCCTGATGGGCTACCCTCCTTCGCTCGGGCGGATTTTGGAGCAGTGCGGTGTCATTTCCCATCTCTGGCCCACCTGCCTCCTCTCGGATGTGTCCCCGTCTATCCCAGCCTCCTGTCGTTAGCTCTGCGACCACACAAGACTCGACTCTGACACACAACATGCGACCGTGTGTTGGTCGACCCGCCTGTCAGCTGTGTTGCTCCGTTATTCTCGATGTCTCGGCTCCGGACCTCCTCTCTCATCATAAAGCACCAGCCGGATCCAGAAACAGCGGCGTGCATCGTTCAAATGCAGCACACCGAGTGTGACGACAGGGTTTATCCAGCCGCACTGTCTGTAGAGGTTAGCATCGTCTCCACACTCACAACATCACCATGTTTTCTTCATCGTTTGCTCAGCAAGACCACATACGCAAAATAATAACGTTGCCTTCACGTGCTGTAGGAAATACCAAATCTTCCATAGCCTCTGCGGTAAAGACCGAGCTTTTTACGTTTTTACTAGCCGTCACCATTTTGTTGCCATTTCCATAATCCGTCTATAAAACTGCATTATTGCTGGCTAAGTGGAAAGTAAGTCACAATTAAGTTGCAGTCTTGCAAAATAATGCTAAGCGCGAGAGACTTTGGTAAGTCCGTGGAGCATTTAAAGGCAACATAAGTATCTCCGCTTTAGTAGGGCACGTAGGGACGTGCTGACGTCTCAGGTTGACCAGTGTGTGATGCTTTGCAGAGCAGCTGCAGCATCCAAAACCATGGGCGGTTTATGTGACAATGGGCCCCTGGGCACAGATACATAAAGGGCCCCACCACCTCACCTACACCGGAGTGAGAGACACAGACTTTTTGTTGGCTTTGCTTTTTTAAGTTCAGTGTAGTTTAGTTCATTTAAGAAGGGACAGTGCAAATTAATAAATACACATGGTATAAAAATGTCAGAATTCACCAAAGGGCTGTTTTTCATCTGTAGTCCCTTAGCCAAGGTGTTACACAAGGCTACCTAAAATACAACAAAGCCCAAAAAACAATACAAAGAACCAACCACCATAACAAACAAACAAAACAACCCCCCAAAAAAGAAAAGAAAACATAACATACAGTTTAAAAGACGTTGTTGACTGTGTTGTTGTTTTGAATATCTTTCTAGTTGTCAGCATCTTTTTGTGGTTTGTGTGTGCCCTTGTGGTTGTTTTGTCTTTCTTTGTAGTCTTTTGTGTCTCTTTGTAGTTCCTTTGCATCACTTTGTGTTTATGAGTCACTTCCTGGTTGATACTTGTTAATTTGAGTGACATGTTGCAGGTTAAGGTTGGGGGTCACTGGCACTTTTGGCCCCATGGCCTGTGCCCGGTACACAGTAATCCATCCAAGTCCAAAACAAAATGCATATAAAGCTGTCAGAAATACTCATATTAGTAAAATGCACAAATAAATATATTATTATAATGGATATGCGAACAATATGTCTGCAATACAGTTGATTTAAAACAGCAAAATGTGTTTGTGAATAACTGATTTAGTGATATTATTACCATGATGTGATGGCGTTAGTTCATGTGCTCATACAAAAATTATTCTTCTGCCAGAAGGCCATGAAATCATGGGATGCAAACCATTTTTACCAGTGGAACCAGTTTACCAGTCAAGTCAACTTGTTGAGTTAGTCTGTGTGGGAGAGACGTGGTGAGTCTTTTTCGTTTACACAAATTGGCTGGACCTTTTCAGGGTGCATGAACTGAAATTAATATTCCCCTTTGACTATTCTCTTGATGGATGAAAATCAATCCCTCACCAGGGTGCATCACTTCTAATGATTCTAAGAGAAATTCCAAATGGATTCCAGCAGAGTTTGCCTCTGCACTGATGAGCCCCGTTGCATCATGTGTTATGGTGCAATGTGTTGCCTCTTAAATAAATTCTTTATCAATAGCTTATTAAATACTGATGTATGATCATCTGGATAAAAATATAAAAGGGCAAATGAAGGGTTTCAGGACGGAGATAGGCTGCACTAATGGTGAGGAGCCAAGCAACATCATACAAGTAGCACATCCCACACCTAAAACCCCGAGCACATTGACTAAATTCCTCGAACTGGAGCCTACAAGACGTGAAAATACATTGCTGAGATTCCTTGTTCTCCATCTGTGACAAATAAAAGGCTTATTAAATATAGACCTATCCACTGATTGCCAGCTCAATAGGCTAGTAACTGTCGCTCTCAGGAGTGTGGAAGCTGTACTTCCATAACACAATGTGGTTGGACAGGGACAACTGTGTGGAGAGAACATGAAACAGCTGAAAAAGTTTTAATCCTTAATTTAGTGTAGCACAGATTTTTTTTTTTTACTATGATATTAACAATTTCTTGAAGGCCAAATTAAAATCATACTGCCTCAGGAAAACATAGGTGTAGATGTGCAGGGTTCCATGGTGTAATGGTTAGCACTCTGGACTTTGAATCCAGCGATCCGAGTTCAAATCTCGGTGGAACCTCAAGGTTTTTCAAGGTAACACTTACATGTGGTGATGAATACAATAACCAGTTCTTCAGGTGTCTTGAATTCTCTACAACTAGTAGCCGATAAAAGAAATACATAGTGGCTCATACACACCATTCAAATAGCAAACAATACACATAAATAACTTACAAAATAAATGTGGGATCATTGACATAAGTCAGTTAACAGCTGAATGTCCCATGACAAGTGACTTAAGTATCAATAAATAACTACAGGAACAAATAAATGAAATAAATTAATTGATGTCCTCTTTAATGACCTTAAGTGTAAACCTTTTTTAGTCTATTAATGCATTTATTTATTTATTCACATATTTATTTCAGCATTTGTTTATTTCTGTATTTATTTTTCCTATTTATTTACTTCGTTGGACATATATTTATATATTTTCTTATTTCCATATTTCTACGTTTATTTCCATATTTATACATTTACTTGTGCTGTATTTATTTATTTATGAATTAATTTATATTTAAGTCATTTTTTGACCAATACATTATGTTACATATATGTTTGAATGAATCAATAAATCAAAAATAAATAAACAAATAGACATTTTTGTCTACAGTTTTTATTTATGTACTTGAATTTTATATGCATGAAGCAAAGCAGCTCTGCAGGAGTATGCTTGATACTGTTCTCCCTTTCTTGGTGATGACAACATTTAAAACAACAGTAAATAAGACAAAAACATTTTAAAATACTTTTTCTATATAAACTCCACATCATCCAAATGCATAAGTTGATCAAATGACAGCAAATTTAATCACTGGTTTGTAGTGGGCTACATCTTTCTAGTTTTTTTCCTTTTTGGGAGTGAGGGTTTTGTATGCTGTCTAGTGCAGTTAAACATTTTAAGAAAAGACTTGGTATGAAATGGTATGAGTAAGACAAATGCTCAAATCATTGTTAAAATTTAACAGAAAACTTGCCTCAAACTTCTAACTCAGCCATACTTTGTATTGTTCATTGGGATCACAGAGGAAAAGGGCTGGCTGAGTTTAGAGGAGACTGGAGTCACAAATTTGATGACTTTGGACTAGACTTGACAAAATCAAAAAAGGCCTGCAACACAACTTGAACTGTAACATCAATGACTTGTGACTTCACTTGGACTGGAGCCCCTCGACTTGAAATACTTCAGAGTTTCTCCAAGCCTAAAGATTTAAAAGTTTGTTATTTAAAAGTGTGCCACAAATAAGTTCAGGTCCCTTCATCTCCTGAATCAGCTAATGATGACACTTTTCATTCCCAGCAACTCGACACTTGAGCCCCCAGATCCACTTTGTTTGAACCAATCCAACCAAGTATCAGGCAAGAACCATGAAGAACCAACGTTACATTACAGAGCACCAGTTAGAAAACAAGACACCAAAAACAATTTTGGTTGTGTAGAAAAACCAACGTGAAGTATGCAAAACATTAAGGTCAAAAATCACAGATGGAGCTGCAACAACTTCCAACAAATAGATATGTGTGGTTCCATGGTGTAATGGTTAGCACTCTGGACTCTGAATCCAGCGATCTGAGTTCAAATCTCGGTGGAACCTATCATCTTTGCAAAGTGGCACAACCTTCAACACAAGTGATCTCTACAATCAGGATAAAATTGTCAAATAATCTTCTAATATTGTGCAAAAGGTCTTTGATTGCAGACATTCCAGCTTCTCCTGCTCCGTCACTGAATTTGTAAAATTTCTAAAATGTTCTGTAGCAACATTTATACATATTTACATAATCATAGCCTTTATATAAACTTTTATTACCTCACTATGGCTGAGTCAAGGTAAAGGTTAGGTAACTGTCCTTACTTCACCTAACTTTTACCCTGATACAGTAGACAGCTATTTGTGTCCTGAGTTACCCTGACCTGACCCTGATACAGCGTTATGTATAAATCCCATGCTGATAATGAGTAACATGAAAAGAGCCATGTGTGGGACAGAGTGATAGAGGAAGACTTTGCCCCATGCTATCACTTACGCTCAAAATTTCCCTGAATAACAAAAATAAAGCATTACATTTGAAAAAACAACATTGTTTGAAATAGTGGACAAAATGTATATTTTTTAATGAAACATAAAAAGCAGCAAATTTCAGCATTCTGACAATAAATATAACGAGCCTGTGAGGATGTTTTACAACTAATAAATGCAGTGATAATTAAAACTATCAGCTTTGTTTTATGTATATTTGCTATTACAGTATTGATGTCATCTGATTAGATGTGTAAGGAATAAGACATAGTCGTACTGTTGCTATACAGAATATTGTACAGTAGAGACAGGTGATTGTGTTTGATTTCAGCTAATGATATCCTCCCTCCTATTAATTAGCTGGTGTGGCCATGGAGGGACATTTGGGACGTCCAGAAGCAGGCAACAGGTTTTCCCAGTACTCTCGACGAGACCTAAGACAAATGTTGGCAGATTAGTTACAGAAATGTTCTTACTGTCATCTTATCCTACTGTCTGCTGTCTTTTCTGAAAATGATGCCTAATTTGAAAAGAGCAGCGAGTGTTCTGCTGAGTCTTACCTGGCTCTGACCCAGGGTTTAGTGTGCATCTCCAGAGCAGCTCCCCACAGTCCGTGCTTCTCTGAAGCTGGTGGGAGGAATCCTCTCTCTGCAGCCACCTCTTCTGCTATAGCTCTGATATGGTAGGGCTCAAATCCACAGCAGCCTCCAATGTAGCGAATTCCAGCATTGTAAGCCTCTCTGGCATATTTATGGATATCCCAGCGGGTCATTGCTCTGGTCTCCAGTGCTGAGAGGAGGGTCACATATATGACTATCATATCAAAGCTCTCTTTAAACTGTGAAGGGCGTTTAAAAAGGTAGCAATATGAACTCTACACTCACATACTACTTTCTTAACACCATTTACAATTTTAAAATATCTTTTTTACTTCATCCTACACAAAATAAAATACTGACCAAAGGGGAACTCAGGTAGAGAGACGTATCCAGTGTGGTTGCACTCAGGTGTGTGAAAGCCCAGCGGCTGGATCATGAGATGTGCTTTGAGACCAGCTCTCTCTAATCCCTCTTTCATCAACTTCACTGTACGAATGCACGTCAGAGGGTCCAGGTGGCAATTTATTCCAACAATGTCAGCTCCTGCACATGAACACACACACACATATAAATCATTTAAACTGTACTCCTCATCATACATCATTGCCAACTTAAAGTACGGCATCACAGAAGGTCGGCGTACCAGCTTTGACCAGCCTGACAGCACACTCTCCAGGTGGGACTCCCTGCATGTCTCCTTGAGGGGAGATGCACATTGTTGCACCCACCGCTTTACCGCTAGTCTTTAGCACCTCCACTGCCCACACTGCCTCCTCCACGTGATCAAAGAACTGCAGGAAAAAATATGCATGCAATCAATAAAGCTCGATTTAAAAAATAAGCACTGAAAAATAAATCACCGACAATGCACAGAGGGTTTATCAGAGTTTGTCAGAGAAAAAAAGAATTGCACAGTCATTATTACATCATTATTCATTAATATTAGTCATTTGATTTATTGTTTGGATGGATAAATATTGATCAATGCAGGTTTAAGCACATTAAAATTGATTTTTACAAAGTTATTTCCCTTTAAAATAACTCCAGAGTTAGTCCTCTTGCTAGTCATACCTCTGCAATAAAGAAATCAATGTCCTTCTTGAGGAAGTCATCCATCTGTTTCTTAAAGATGGCCTTGACCTCAGTTTGATTGCGACTCTTCGCATAACAGGGAGTCTGGGACACGCCCCCAGCGACCAACGCATCACCCTCATTGGCTACCTCCCTCGCCAGGTCACAGGCTGCCTCATTGATCTGGGCCCCCTGGATCAGATGAGAGCAGACTGATATGAGGATAATTTTTATCATGTGATGTAAACAGAATAATGCTGTTGTTCACTTAGGTTTTGTGCTGACAGTGATGTCGGTGACGTTGCCGCTCATCTCCAGCTTGTCCTCACTGCAGTAGAAGGTGAACGTCTGAATCACATTGGCTCCTGCTCTCAGGAACTCTCTGTGCAGCTGCCGCACTGACAGTGACAGAAAAAGAGAGACAGAGGAGGATCCTTTATGAAGAAGTGAGGCAGATAGATTTTGCACAGATATAAAGGGCCTTAATTCTGTGATCTTAATAAATGACAGAACAGAGAACTGCATCTTTGTGATTAATAATATGGGGCAAGGGCAAAAGTGGATTACCTATCAGGTTAAGAGAGGGCCCCCCTAAATTCACTGCATGCCAATAGGTCATATTGACTTGATTAACTGAACATTTGTTGGCACGTTGGCACCACTGATTACCTCCAGTATATGCTAATTTTAAGGTCCTGTCGTACAGAGAGGCCCTCCTTAAAAAAAAATAAAATTTTGTAATGTGGGACAGACTTTTGCCCCTGGGCCCCCTAACCGGTTCATCCAGCAATGGGCCGGTTTATACCTGCTTCAGGATGTTCAACAGCTGCCTCAGGTGTCCAGTGTCCTGCCTTCACATATCCACGTCGCTCAAGCTGCATCACATAACCTCCATCTCCTACAACCACCTCCCCAGCATTCAGTCGCTCCAAGATACCCTGAATGCACACACACACACACACACACACACACACACATGCAGATAGTTACTGCACTCACAAAGAGCATGCATGTACAAACACACTGTAAATATCCCCTCAGGGCTAAAGACTGAAATGCAGAGCTCACTTGAGAAGTAGTTCAGGTATGAAGTGTCTAAAACAGGAATGTCATGATAAACTCTGCTCATTTGAAATAAATAAGGTTTGAAGGTCATTTGGAGATGGTTTGAGTCTCTCACAGTGTTACAACGCATCCCGAACAAGCCGGCAAACGCGTTAAACATTTGTGAATATGTCACATTGACCCTCTTTACAGCTCACAATAAAAATGCATCTGGTATCCAGATTATACCAGATTATGTCTAGATATGATTAAACCTGATTATATTTACACCTGGTGTTAATGTGTGTCTCCAGTGTCTACATTGAGATCTTGTCACTCTGTCCAGCTACTAAGAACTGTGCAGACCAAATTTCTTTGCCTGTCAAATCCTCTTTCCAAGGGTGATTGTATGTGAAACACACCACCTGTTACACCTCAGACAGGATGATTTGATCATATCTCTGACAATCATCTTAAAGCACCGGCTGTTTTCTTTTGTAAACAAGTGAAGGAGGGAGGGCTGCTGCTGCCTCGTTGGCTTGGAACAGTCGCACGATTAGGTAGGCTATCTCCACCCAGGTAGTTGCTGTATGTAGACTGAAAAGGCGATTGCAGTTATACTTGAGGTCAATGTGATCACAATGTGTCCCTGAGGTGGTTTGGCTGGTCGGATCGCAACCCCTCAGTGTGTTTTGGGTGCATTTACACATGCAGCCAGGTGCAGTAGTACATGTTGAGGTGGGTGTTCTCCAAGGGAGATAGGCAGGTTACCAAGGAGAAAGTGGGTATACTCTCTTATAAGGCTTTTTTGGCTGATAGGGGATACCCCTTTACTGCACCACTGCCTGTAGCCTACTTTTATGTAATCAAACACTATCTGGAAGCAATCCAATCATCCAAAATTAATTTTATTGCAAGGTGTAAATGGGGTCAATTGTTGCTACTTCATGCCTACTGTTTGCCACCCTATGAAATGATATTTTGAGCTGGTTACATGTTAAAGTATCTGTCCTTCTGCTGATCTCTCATATTAAAAATTTACAGACATGGGCATGCTCCACATTTCAGCTTATCCAGATATTACTCTGTAGCTATGACTTGCGCTCACTGCACTTAAAAAAAAAAAAACATTTTATGCTAACAATTTGCATTAAATTGTTCTTCGGAATGGAGAATTTAAATTGCTCTGGTAACTTTGACAATTAAAGGGGAACTGAGCCTATTTTCAAAATTCATACTGTATTCCTATGGTTTAAGACTGTCCAAAAAAAGAGTTAACATTTACAATTTCGTCCCAAAATTCAAAACTAGAGTGCTAAAACTCAAATTTGTGATGTCATCAAGTATTAGGTCTGGAGCTGCTCCATAATCGATGAATGGTGAAGGATGTTAGATGACACTGAGAGCACCCAGGGGACTGATCTGAGTATATGGGTGCATTTTCAGTTTCAGGGCTGAGAACACTACAATAGAAGAACGCTCATTTGTGTTTAAAAAAGAAAACATTTGTGAATACACAAAATCAGGCTCCCATTCATTGTCTATGGGGCAGCTCCAAACTTTATACTCTATGACATTTCAAGTTTGAGACTTACATCTCTGGTTTCTGGCTTTGAGATAAAGTAGCTCATGTTCATAAACATTCCTAGGTCATAGCAATAACATTAGAAGTGTTCATTTAGGTGGTGACCCCCTTTATGTCAATTAATTCCCAGACAACACGAGTTCAAGACTCAATCTAAATCCTCAAGTCTATAAAACCGCAGTGAAGTTCGCATTATGTCTGAAAGTTTCACTCTGTAACCGCGTCTTCTCATTTGGTTTCACTGGTTTCACTCACGATTTCAAACCGCGAGGTGACTAGTTATGTTTCCTTGACTCACCCTCCTTTTGCTCTCCATCCTCGATTAAATCCTGGCAAGCTTGCAAAACTTGGAAAACTGAGAGTGAGCTCGTTTGAGATGAATCAGGGATCGCACACAGCACTGCGACTGACTTATGGCAAGCTGTAGCTGTCAGCACAGAGACCAGTAATATACATACCAGCAGCAGCGCTTCTCCCTTTTCCCCGCCCCTTCAGCTTAATAAATAAAGCTGAATATCTAAATGATTAAAATACAATTAATATAAAAACCACGCCAATTCTCGTGAGTAAGACCACATGTAAAAATTTGAACGAGGAATTGATGCATTAAATCAAAGGACAGATGAAGCATCCACGCCTTCATGCGCGTTTTGGGTGCATTTACACATGCACCCAGGGGTGTAGTCTATTACTTGAGTCAAAATATAGATCTCTTGGTCAAATATGACTCCAATACAAGTGAAAGTTGCTGAGTCAAAGTATTACTTGCAGTAAAGTACTGGAGTAATTGCTTAAAAAAAAAAAAAAAAAAAAAAAACACTTTAGTACACTGGTCATAATTTGTAGGCGAAGGGTTAATTCAACTTCTAATACACAGCAATGCCAGAAATGTGAAACACAGACTGCATTTACTTAGTTGGGCTTCTTCACTTGACAAACCTATAGTAGCGCTATTTTACAAAGAAAAAAAAAGCTATTGTTCAAAAAAGAGAATTTTATGTCTTTATTTATTACGTGAAAATATTTCACAGCAGTTTACAACAATCAATGAACCGATATGATTAAACCTAAGAAGATGTTTTACAACTGATATGATGTTTAAGGCCGACTGTGTACAATCTATGTATTAGTTATAAAGGTTAGGAATAGTGCATACAGTTACAGAAAATAAAAAAGAAACAAAGTGGCCAATTTAATGATGAAGTTAAGTATAATAAGGCCAAGCCAACTGGAGTGACCAAATAATGAGGGGCTGTTGAGTTCTGAAACAGTAGCCAACAACAAACCACAAACCTCTGTGTAAACAAAGATCAGATCATTGATTGACATTCTTGATCTAAAAAAAAGGGACACTCTGATCAGACATATAAAGAACAGAGTAAACTGTATTAGGATGGTGTGGTAGATTTCAGCTGTTCTTCATAATCATCCTCTGCTGTGGCCATGGAGGGACATTTGGGACGTCCAGAAGCAGGCAACAGGTTTTCCCAGTACTCTCGACGAGACCTGAAACAAATGTTGGCAGATTAGTTGCAGAAATGTTCTTACTGTCATCTTGTCCTACTGTCTGCTGTCTTTTGTAAAAATGATGCCTAATTTGAAAAGAGCAGCGAGTGTTCTGCTGAGTCTTACCTGGCTCTGACCCAGGGTTTAGTGTGCATCTCCAGAGCAGCTCCCCACAGTCCGTGCTTCTCTGAAGCTGGTGGGAGGAATCCTCTCTCTGCAGCCACCTCTTCTGCTATAGCTCTGATATGGTAGGGCTCAAATCCACAGCAGCCTCCAATGTAGCGAATTCCAGCATTGTAAGCCTCTCTGGCATATTTATGGATATCCCAGCGGGTCATTGCTCTGGTCTCCAGTGCTGAGAGGAGGGTCACATATATGACTATCATATCAAAGCTCTCTTTAAACTGTGAAGGGCGTTTAAAAAGGTAGCAATATGAACTCTACACTCACATACTACTTTCTTAACACCATTTACAATTTTAAAATATCTTTTTTACTTCATCCTACACAAAATAAAATACTGACCAAAGGGGAACTCAGGTAGAGAGACGTATCCAGTGTGGTTGCACTCAGGTGTGTGAAAGCCCAGCGGCTGGATCATGAGATGTGCTTTGAGACCAGCTCTCTCTAATCCCTCTTTCATCAACTTCACTGTACGAATGCACGTCAGAGGGTCCAGGTGGCAATTTATTCCAACAATGTCAGCTCCTGCACATGAACACACACACACATATAAATCATTTAAACTGTACTCCTCATCATACATCATTGCCAACTTAAAGTACGGCATCACAGAAGGTCGGCGTACCAGCTTTGACCAGCCTGACAGCACACTCTCCAGGTGGGACTCCCTGCATGTCTCCTTGAGGGGAGATGCACATTGTTGCACCCACCGCTTTACCGCTAGTCTTTAGCACCTCCACTGCCCACACTGCCTCCTCCACGTGATCAAAGAACTGCAGGAAAAAATATGCATGCAATCAATAAAGCTCGATTTAAAAAATAAGCACTGAAAAATAAATCACCGACAATGCACAGAGGGTTTATCAGAGTTTGTCAGAGAAAAAAAGAATTGCACAGTCATTATTACATCATTATTCATTAATATTAGTCATTTGATTTATTGTTTGGATGGATAAATATTGATCAATGCAGGTTTAAGCACATTAAAATTGATTTTTACAAAGTTATTTCCCTTTAAAATAACTCCAGAGTTAGTCCTCTTGCTAGTCATACCTCTGCAATAAAGAAATCAATGTCCTTCTTGAGGAAGTCATCCATCTGTTTCTTAAAGATGGCCTTGACCTCAGTTTGATTGCGACTCTTCGCATAACAGGGAGTCTGGGACACGCCCCCAGCGACCAACGCATCACCCTCATTGGCTACCTCCCTCGCCAGGTCACAGGCTGCCTCATTGATCTGGGCCCCCTGGATCAGATGAGAGCAGACTGATATGAGGATAATTTTTATCATGTGATGTAAACAGAATAATGCTGTTGTTCACTTAGGTTTTGTGCTGACAGTGATGTCGGTGACGTTGCCGCTCATCTCCAGCTTGTCCTCACTGCAGTAGAAGGTGAACGTCTGAATCACATTGGCTCCTGCTCTCAGGAACTCTCTGTGCAGCTGCCGCACTGACAGTGACAGAAAAAGAGAGACAGAGGAGGATCCTTTATGAAGAAGTGAGGCAGATAGATTTTGCACAGATATAAAGGGCCTTAATTCTGTGATCTTAATAAATGACAGAACAGAGAACTGCATCTTTGTGATTAATAATATGGGGCAAGGGCAAAAGTGGATTACCTATCAGGTTAAGAGAGGGCCCCCCTAAATTCACTGCATGCCAATAGGTCATATTGACTTGATTAACTGAACATTTGTTGGCACGTTGGCACCACTGATTACCTCCAGTATATGCTAATTTTAAGGTCCTGTCGTACAGAGAGGCCCTCCTTAAAAAAAAATAAAATTTTGTAATGTGGGACAGACTTTTGCCCCTGGGCCCCCTAACCGGTTCATCCAGCAATGGGCCGGTTTATACCTGCTTCAGGATGTTCAACAGCTGCCTCAGGTGTCCAGTGTCCTGCCTTCACATATCCACGTCGCTCAAGCTGCATCACATAACCTCCATCTCCTACAACCACCTCCCCAGCATTCAGTCGCTCCAAGATACCCTGAATGCACACACACACACACACACACACACACACATGCAGATAGTTACTGCACTCACAAAGAGCATGCATGTACAAACACACTGTAAATATCCCCTCAGGGCTAAAGACTGAAATGCAGAGCTCACTTGAGAAGTAGTTCAGGTATGAAGTGTCTAAAACAGGAATGTCATGATAAACTCTGCTCATTTGAAATAAATAAGGTTTGAAGGTCATTTGGAGATGGTTTGAGTCTCTCACAGTGTTACAACGCATCCCGAACAAGCCGGCAAACGCGTTAAACATTTGTGAATATGTCACATTGACCCTCTTTACAGCTCACAATAAAAATGCATCTGGTATCCAGATTATACCAGATTATGTCTAGATATGATTAAACCTGATTATATTTACACCTGGTGTTAATGTGTGTCTCCAGTGTCTACATTGAGATCTTGTCACTCTGTCCAGCTACTAAGAACTGTGCAGACCAAATTTCTTTGCCTGTCAAATCCTCTTTCCAAGGGTGATTGTATGTGAAACACACCACCTGTTACACCTCAGACAGGATGATTTGATCATATCTCTGACAATCATCTTAAAGCACCGGCTGTTTTCTTTTGTAAACAAGTGAAGGAGGGAGGGCTGCTGCTGCCTCGTTGGCTTGGAACAGTCGCACGATTAGGTAGGCTATCTCCACCCAGGTAGTTGCTGTATGTAGACTGAAAAGGCGATTGCAGTTATACTTGAGGTCAATGTGATCACAATGTGTCCCTGAGGTGGTTTGGCTGGTCGGATCGCAACCCCTCAGTGTGTTTTGGGTGCATTTACACATGCAGCCAGGTGCAGTAGTACATGTTGAGGTGGGTGTTCTCCAAGGGAGATAGGCAGGTTACCAAGGAGAAAGTGGGTATACTCTCTTATAAGGCTTTTTTGGCTGATAGGGGATACCCCTTTACTGCACCACTGCCTGTAGCCTACTTTTATGTAATCAAACACTATCTGGAAGCAATCCAATCATCCAAAATTAATTTTATTGCAAGGTGTAAATGGGGTCAATTGTTGCTACTTCATGCCTACTGTTTGCCACCCTATGAAATGATATTTTGAGCTGGTTACATGTTAAAGTATCTGTCCTTCTGCTGATCTCTCATATTAAAAATTTACAGACATGGGCATGCTCCACATTTCAGCTTATCCAGATATTACTCTGTAGCTATGACTTGCGCTCACTGCACTTAAAAAAAAAAAAACATTTTATGCTAACAATTTGCATTAAATTGTTCTTCGGAATGGAGAATTTAAATTGCTCTGGTAACTTTGACAATTAAAGGGGAACTGAGCCTATTTTCAAAATTCATACTGTATTCCTATGGTTTAAGACTGTCCAAAAAAAGAGTTAACATTTACAATTTCGTCCCAAAATTCAAAACTAGAGTGCTAAAACTCAAATTTGTGATGTCATCAAGTATTAGGTCTGGAGCTGCTCCATAATCGATGAATGGTGAAGGATGTTAGATGACACTGAGAGCACCCAGGGGACTGATCTGAGTATATGGGTGCATTTTCAGTTTCAGGGCTGAGAACACTACAATAGAAGAACGCTCATTTGTGTTTAAAAAAGAAAACATTTGTGAATACACAAAATCAGGCTCCCATTCATTGTCTATGGGGCAGCTCCAAACTTTATACTCTATGACATTTCAAGTTTGAGACTTACATCTCTGGTTTCTGGCTTTGAGATAAAGTAGCTCATGTTCATAAACATTCCTAGGTCATAGCAATAA